ATGGCAATCACTTTGCTAACGACAAAGCTTGTCCTGAGTTGGGTCGCCAGAAGAGCATCAAAGCATTGATGGCGGAAAAGTCAATCTCATATACGGAAGCAAGCCAAGTTTTCCCAACTGTTAAAAGGTCTTATGCTGAGGTCTCAAGATCAGCCAACCTTATAGTTTCATCTCCCAACAAAACTCCATCCCAACAAAGAGTGTCCTACAAGAAAACAGTCCAACTCAAGCCTAAATCACATGCGCCCCTCTCTCCTAGCTATGATAAGAAGGCCCATCGGGCCCTTATCCAAGACTACTCTTTCTCCCCGTCTAAAAATGGTTGCGCTTTCCCTGTGGAATCCGGAACCAATACTCGTAGCTCCAAGTACATCCTAAATATAGTCTCTGATATGCTCATGGCAGTGCTAGCAAACCCTGCCCAAAATATACCTGACCACGTCGCACACAAACTTTCTACAATTCTAGATTACATCTGTAACATTCCATCCTCTAACACTGCTTCAGTGGAACGTGAGGAGTACTCTTCCCAGGAAGAGTGACTTACTCCACTTGATAAATAAATTTAAACCATCGATTTGTGGCATTGCTGAGACATGGCTTCAACCGAATATTAATTTCGGGATCCCGTGTTTCAGTGTTGTCAGACATGACAGATCTGATGGTTATGGAGGGTGTGCTTTGTTAATTAATAACAAAGTGCCCTTCACCCAGATCCCTCTACCCTTCGTTGGCGATGACATAAATGTTGTCGCTGTTAAGGCTGAGGACATAAATATTTTTGTATTTTATATTGCTCACCCTCATGTTGATCACATTATGTTAATTAAAAGTTTACTAACCTTGGTAAGTGGCCCATTGCTTGTAATGGGTGACTTCAACTGCCACCACTATAGATGGGGTTCAGATGTATGCGATAATGTAGGTATTGAATTAGTAGAGATGCTGGACGAACTCGAATTGTGTGTCATCAATGATGGCAGCCCTACTCGTAGGTCTGCATTTGGTCAAAGAAACAGCTGTGTGGACTTGACCTTCTGCTCGCCTGCTATGGCTGGCGTGCTTAATTGGAGTTGTTTGAATTTGACCTATGGTAGTGATCACTATCCTATCATAATTAAACACCTGTCAAAATCTATTCCAGATAAACCCCTTCCCCCCCTATTAAAATATCGTTTGAATGCAGCTGATTGGGATCTTTATTCAAAATTATTAGACTACCGTATCTCCTTCCTTTCACCAATTAATCCTGAGAATGCTTTGGAGTGTTTCTCAAAATTTTCGGACCTGATAGCCTCCACTGCAGAAGATTGCTTTCCGGTGAAAAACGCACCGAAAGGCAAAATCCCTTCTCCGCCATGGTGGGATAGTGAATGCACTGCCATGATAAGGGCTAGGAATGAGGCTGAAAAGACATATAACCAAGATATGAACCTGGAAAACCTCATAAATTTCAAACGAATTTTGGCTAAGTCAAGGAAATTGTTCAAAAAAAAGAAGAGACAAGGGTGGCAAAGATTTTGTGGTTCTCTGAGCCCATCCACACCAGTATCTACAGTTTGGCAGAGAGTGAAAAATTTCAGGAGCTCCACCAAACCTCCCACTATCTCGATTTTACCCGAATCTCTAAGTAACAGATTTTTAAATAGTATTGCTCCAGTATATGTTCCCAGTGCAGACGAGTGCTGCCAGAGACCCTATGACGAAACACATGAACCGCTCGATTTGGAGTTCTCTTATGAAGAGCTCCAAACGGTACTCAACCATGTCAAGGACTCGGCACCAGGGATTGATGGGTTCCCTTACTCCTTCCTATCTAAGGCAGGAACTAAAACAAAACAATACTACCTTGACTTGGTCAATTTTTGCTTTACTTCAGGTTATATTCCTCCTACTTGGAAGGTTCAGGTTATCATGCCGCTGTTGAAAGCTGGCAAGGATCCTGGTGATCATAAGTCCTACCGACCTATCGCTCTATCGTCCGTACTTATTAAAACTTTTGAACACCTCATTAAAAACCGCCTTGAATGGTTGGTTGAAAGCCGGAGGCTGCTTCCGGCGACTCAGTTTGGCTTCAGGAAAGGTCTGGGTACGGCTGACAGTGTGGGTGTCCTCACGTCAGCCATCCGACTGGCCCTTAGCAGGCAGGAGTCGCTGGTCGCGGTCTTCCTGGACATCTCAGCGGCCTATGATTCTGTCCTCTTACCCCTTCTCAGGCAGAAACTGCAAGAGCTGAGAATCCCGAGTGGGATTTGCCGAATTATAGGCTGTATCCTCTCCAATCGTACCCTCCAATTGAGAACTCCTGAGGATAACCCAGTACAGAGGTCCTCCTGGAAAGGTTTACCTCAGGGGTCAGTCCTTAGTCCTATCCTTTATATATATATACCTATGACCTCCCCTCCTGTTTAAATTTTAACTGTAATGTCCTTCAGTACGCTGACGATATCGCATTAATGGTCACCAGCAACTCTATAACAGAGGCCGCCCACTCCATCAATGTCTCTTTGTCCTCATTAAACCAATGGCTTCTCAATCACGGGTTATCTTTAAGTGCCCCAAAAAGCTCGGCTGTCATTTTTACACGCAAACGACGCACTCCGGATCTTCGTATAGAGATGGACGGTCAGACTATCCCGATTAAAAGCAGCGCTAGATTTTTGGGAGTTCATCTCGACTCAAAGATGTCTGGGGTGGACCACATAAACACCGTAGTTGGAAGGTGTGAACGCTCAGTATCAATACTCAGAGCTCTGGCTGGGGTATGGTGGGGTGCTCACCCCTCTTCATTGAAGCTCATATACAATGCATTGGTCAGAAGTGTAATGGACTATTGTTGCTTCCTTATTGTACCTTGCAATAAGGAAGCATTAAAAAAACTAGACTCCATTCAGGCCAAATGCCTTAGAATAATTATTGGAGCTATGAAATCATCCCCCATAAACGCTCTTCAGGTTGAATGTGCGGAGCCTCCTCTCAACCTTCGAAGACAATACCTTGCAGACCGCTTCATATCAAAAGTCCTCTCCCTCTCATCACATCCCCTTCTCCCTATCCTAGATCAAATCCACTGTTCCTACAGCTCCTCTTCCTACTGGAAAAATAAACCTGTCCCTCCCGTGATTGCTAGGTACAGGGAGCTTAAAAACCTCTCTGCACCCATAAGTCAATATCCTGTGCTCCCAGTGTTTTCTTCCGTATATGAGGTTATCCACTTTAGACCAAAACTGATTTTAGGACTTGGCATTTCGAAATCCACCGTGAATGCTGCAGACGAGTTCAAACGTGCCTTGGACAAATACTGGAGAGGTTGGAATACCTTCTACACAGACGCGTCTAAATTATCCCGAATCGGATGTACAGGAGTGGCAGCGTACTTCCAAAATTCGAGGATCGCTCTCCTCTCCAAGTGTCCCCCGGAGGCATCAGTCTTCACGGGTGAATGTGCGGCCATTTTGGAATCACTCAAATTTATTAGAGCTCACAACCTCAAAAATTCCGTAATTTTTTCTGATTCCCGAAGTAGCCTACAGTCCCTCAACCAAGATCAGCTCCATTCCCGAACCCATAGCAGTTTGGTTGTTGAGATAAAGGCGCTTCTTCTTTCCTGCTTCAATGATGGCCTAAACATCGAGATCGCTTGGATTCCTGGCCACTCTGGCATATGCGGTAACGAGTGTGCGGATTCCTTAGCCAAATTTGCGGCCTCGAACGATGTCGAACGTCAACACTACGTGGTTTACGGGTATGATGTACGTGCCGACACCAAACACAAGCTTTTTGACTCATGGGCTGCAGTGTGGGTAGACACTTCCAAAAGTAAAGGAGCCTACTATGCAAGTGTCCAGCCCGGCATCCGGCGGAGGCCTTGGTTTTCCAAGTACCCTAAGCTCCCCCGCCACACTGTTTCATCCTTGTGCAGACTCAGACTCGGCCATTGTAGTAGCCCAGTCTTCCTCACAAGATCCGTGTCCGCGACAGCTCGCTGTGTGAATGCGGCCTTGACGAGGGAACTGTAGACCATATATTTTTTTCGTGTCCTTTAAATTCCCAATCTTTTGACCTTTATAAAAAACTCCCCAGTATTCAAATCCCACTTCCAATTAATTTCCACCTCCTTTTAACTCACTTTTCCCCTAAATTAATCCATTGTTTATGTAGATTCATTAATGATAATGAGATTAAACTATGACGGTGACATTTATGTAAATGGCGTATATATCTGTGTGTCTGTATTGTGCATTGTGTACGTCCCCTCAACTATTTTCTTCACCCCTGTACTCATACAGTAAAATAGTTGTTAATATTTATATGTTTACTAACCCAATTGTTTTGTCCTTTCAGTTACTAACTACTAAAAACTACCGCAAAGTTAACTTCGACGGCTCATTAATCTGCCGTCACCACCTGACACTGGCAGTATAGTCGACAACATCGTATTGGAGACTCGGTTGCCAAAGAAGAAAGAAAAAAAAAAAAAAAGTTTATATTCTGTTTTTAAAACTTAAAAAATAAACAAGTCGGGGGTCTGAACCTTTTGTAACTATTCAACCATTTACAAAACATTTCTGTCAGCTCCTTTTTTGCTAAATTTATATTGTATTGTATTATAAAAGTAACCATTTATAAACTTAATGAATTCAGAAATTAAATAATTTATCTTAATATGAATTTATGAATGATAAATACGTGAATAATTTTAATTTATTCTGTTTCAGACTGCCTCGTTGGCCGAGTTGTCGCAAGTGCGACTGCCGGGCAAGGGGTCTCGGGTTCGATTCCCGGGTCGGGCAAAGTATTACTGGGTTTTTTAAAAATCTCAGTAGTAGCACGGAGTCTGGAAATGTGCCCGGTATATGGCAATAGGCTCACCCCCTATTACATGGGACTCATAACATAAATAGTGAAAAGTGGGTGTTACTTCTATGTGCACCTCTGCCTACCCCTTCGGGGATAAAAGGCGTGATGTTATGTTATTCTGTTTCAGACGTTATAAAGAAATGCCGCAAGTAATATTACTGTTTAGTGGGAAGAGAAAATCAGGAAAGGACTTCCTTACCACACATTTACAGAACTTGTAAGTAAAGTAAACATTATTTATATTTACATGTATTAGAAATTACAATTACAAGCAAAACATACGTAAAATATGATGTTATTTTGCATTGCAAATAAGACAGTAACATTTCCATTTTATCTCAGTTTTGTCTTGAAAAAAATGTAGTTTTTAGTCAATATTTTCCAGTAAATAATGAAGATAGTATCTTTATAATCTACAGTTAGAAGTGGATAACTATAATCCCATTTAATTTGAAAGATTATTAACCAAACAAGTCATTTAAAAATACTACAACCAACTGTTTTCATATTCTATTAAAAATTTCTTCAGGCTTGCGGACAAATGTGAAGTTTTAAAAATATCTCATCCTATAAAGAGTCATTGGGCCAAGGAGAAGAATTTGAATTTGAATGAATTGTTGGGAGACAGTGAGTACAAGGAACAATACCGACTTGATATGATCAACTGGAGCGAAGAGATGAGAGCTCAAGATTATGGATACTTCTGTAGGATTGCTTGTCAAGATGGTAAGTTGAATAATAATTTTATTGGTATGCATTCGTGTTAAAGTTAAGCCAACCAAATTGTTGAAAAATCTATAAGATTTAAGTCTTCAAAATAGATAAACTATATATCAGTTACGTAATAGAGAATCTAAATGCCAGATATTTGTCTAGACACTCTTTCTAAGAACAAATATTTTTAATGTGTTACTCAGAAACTCAGATCCTTACCTTAAATACAATTTGTAATTACTCTACTTCAGAGATAAACTTCTACGTTTCACACAAATTCAGTAAAAATTTAGCAAAAATAAAACTATAATTTCACCAATTTCAGCGACTGACAAGCCAATATGGATTGTAAGCGACATCAGACGAAAAACAGATATCAAATGGTTTAAAGAAAACTATGGCAATAAGACAAGGAACATAAGAATTATGGCTGACGAAGAAACAAGAAAGAAAAGAGGTTTTATTTTCAAATCTGGAGTTGATGACGTAGCTTCCGAGTGTGATTTAGATGATTTTGTTGACTGGGATCTTTTGATAGATAATAGTGAGGGGAAACAGAAGCTAGAGGAACAATTAAGTAGTATATTGGGTCTAGTTTCTGGGTTATGATGTCGTGTAAAAGCTGCCCTTTAGGTAGCAGTCACTAGGAGAATGGGTTGGGCGGTAAAAATTTCTATTATAAAGTTTTGATATTATTAGCGATTAGTTTATATGGTTTAATTTATTTTTGAAATTAATGTCACAAGTATAATGAACGTTGGTGAAAACTGGTGATGGTATTAGTTCTAGTAGAGGTGGTTAAAACTATTATTTTGTATGGTAATTTGGTTGAATGAAATAATATGTAGTTACTTTTAGTTACATATTCTTTTTATTTTTATTTATTTATTTATTGTAGTTTTAGTTGTTATTATTTAGTTGGACTGCTTTGTCGGCCGAGTGGTCGCAAGTGCGACTTTCGGGCAAGGGGTTTCGGGTTCGATTCCCCGGTCGGGCAAAGTATTACTGGGTTTTAAAAAAAATTTCAATGTCAGCACGGAGTCTGGAATTGTGCCCGGTATGGGCTCACCCCCTATTACATGGGACTCATAAAATAAAATAGTGAAAAGTGGGTGTTACATTGTACAGTAGCATTAAGTGCCGTAATGTGCACCTCTGCCTCACCTCATCACGCCTTTTATCCCTGAAGGGGTCTTCAGGGATAAAAGGCGTGATGTTATGTTATGTTTTAGTTATTTATTAAATGACGTAAAAACTGTTTTACATAAAACTTAAGTGCATTAAAAATGTCGCAATATAAAAAAAGTTACAGCATAGCCTATGTCTGGCTGGCTATTACTGTTATTCATTATAACTTATTAACTTAAAAAGTTATTGCATATTGCAATCTATATGAGGTTCGAAAGAAAATAGACATTTAATGTATTATTATTTATTGTACCTATGCATTATTTTACTTCACTTGGTTGAAAATCAAGGTCTTAACTAGGTGCCTATGGTAATGAACGTCTCGTATATGAATGTAAAATTTACATTAATAATTTAATTTACATTGTAAATTATATAAAAAATATACTGTATATTTTAATATTACGCATTGTTTTTTAGTCCTTCTTGATTTACTGACGAGTGTAAAAAAATTTGCGGCCAATAAAATCCGCATTGTTGCAGTAAGTATACACTACAATACCTGCCTAGTAATTTACTCGGTACATACACTTAGGAACAAAGAATGGAGCCTCTTTTACATTTTATTAGACCCTCTATTACTTGAAATATATATATTCCTATTATAACAAAATCTTCTTAACCTTTTCGCCGCCAACAACTTCTATAGAAGTTCAGGATTTTCGTGCCGTCCACGCCACTACTTCTATAGAAGTTCATTGTATCTACCTACTATAAAAAATACATTTACGATACATAAAACATTTGTTTCTTTGTAATTTTGTAATATGGACACGACGAACTATTTTTTCTCATGCAAAACAGACTATTTTCTGTTTTAAAAAGGTAAAACATAAAAGGTTTCAAATAATTTTATATCCCGCACGCCAACGACTTCATATCAAGTAGGCCAGTGATGTGACGCGTAAGGAGCATTCATTAGAATCTTTATTTACTATAATATTTGTTTTCTTTTCCATCCAATAGTTTTTTGAATTCTATGAATAAAAAGAAATTCCGGTCAGTAAATAACGTATTACAATGCGTTTCAAAATTAATGTACATCTACCTATCAAATCATTTCATTAAAATTAATTATTATGTACTGAGTGTTTTCGATATTGCTAGACCCATCTCTACGTAATGGCAAGATGTCGAGTGACACTAGCGCCGTCAACTTCAATAGAAGTAAACCTGTGACGTCGTAAGCGCTTAGGCGTCAAGGTCATTGTGTCATAGTTCCGGGCGACGCGTGCACGCACATTTTTCTTTCCCAGTGCAGTGCAAAATGACCGAATATGATTCGGATGAGTTGTTGCGGCTGTTACAAGGTGTGGAACCTGATTCCGACTTTGATGTTGTATGGATGAAAATCGCTACTGCGCATCCCCCTCTACTTTCGTCCAGCGCACATAATTAATCGCACGGCCTATACCTATAATTATTTTCATGATTATGAAATATCCAAATGATTGAGTCATTTTGATTCGATTACAAACTGTTTGGGTCGCGAAAAATTTGTGATCGACTCAGGTCTATATTTGTTCGCCGACACAGCTAAAAGTTTGCGAAACCGAGAGCCGCAACGAATAGGTATTTTATGACTACCTAATATCCATCAAACGTGCCAGTTTATTTTAAATGTAAACTAAAACCAAAAGCAAACCAAACTCGATAGAAAGAAAGAAAAGCATAGACAACTATTCCTTACGAAATGTATCGTGCTTTGAACGCCAATGACTTGATATGAAGTAAACAGACTACGTTATGAAATGAATAGTGAAGTGGCTAATGTTACGAATTATTATTATTATCTCTAGCAACTCTATGCATGTATCTTCATCTCTGATAACGGATACCCATTTTTCTTAGTATAAATGTTCATAAAATAAAACAAATTACCATTATAACTTAACAGTTTGTATTTTTAATTGTAAATTTGAGTACCAATTTAAATTTACACATATTTTTTTTCATTATCGACATGATGTTACCGCCATCCCTACTTTCGTACTATACATTTATTATACATTTATACGTTGGCGTACGGCGACACATCGTGTTTAGTATAGCTGGGCGGCGAAAAGGTAGATAACTAAATTGCCTTTCCTACGACCCACGTTACCAGTTACCATAATAGTATTAGAAAATATTTATATAGAAATTAAAAATAAAAAACGATAGTAACTCCTTTACTTTGTTCGTGCTTTGTTCCCACGTGTATATTTTTTAATATTTCCATAAAGATATTTTTATTTTTGTTCCATTTCCGAAATAATGTCAATTTTGTATTTTTTTACAAGTTCGAACAACCTACTTACACAGTTAAGGTTGGCGTGTGGCTAGGCAAATGGCTGCCGCGCAACGTGTCGCGGGTTCGATTCCCACACGGAACAATTATTTGTGTGATCCATAGATTGTTGTTTCGGGCCTGGGTGTCATGTGTATATGAACTTTTATGTTTGTAAACGCACCAACGACACAGGAGAAAATACTAGTGTGAGTCAACGTTTTTTTTTAAAAAACATAACAAACAAAAGTTACACTCACACCTAAAATTAAAATTGAAAAATGAAACAGACATAAAGTGAACGTGTGTGTGAAGTGATTGATATAACTGAATTATAATAATAAAGTATATTATAGTACTGACTAGAAGAGCGGTAGGGAGGTATAGGCACCTCTTCAAAGTCATAAACAGTAAATGTGTAAGTAATTACTATAAGTGACCTTAAGTTTGAGCAACTGCCCACCATTTATTTGCGGATCATAGTGGTGCTGCTAATGTAGCGTGAGATCAGTTTTCTGGTGATCGAACAAAATTACCATAAGAGCCATCAGCAGTTAAACATAGTAACTAGGAAGAAAATATTCTCACGTTCATTTTGTTTCGTGACGTTTCCAAGCCAGACGTTGAGGCAGCTAGTACTGATATTTAGCAAAAGATGGCGTTGCTTACACCGCGAGTGAAATGTACCTTCAGAATAAAAACTTTTTATAACGGATATAGGTACCTACGTGTAAGAAATGACAGTTGGATTTTATGTAAGTAGATTTTGTGAATATGAGTTGTAATTTAATTTATTTCTACACAGTAAAAAATCCTAGTGTTATCAGTGGGTAAATTTTCCTCATTTTCCAAAAAGTTTTAAAAGATTTCAGACGAGGTCAAAGACCATGACGATCACACGTTCCATCACCCGTAACTCTGTTTACCTCCTTTTTTAGCTATACATTAAGTTTAGATCTACAGTTTTATTTCTACACCATCTTCTAGAACTTATGCCCATACACTGCTGAGTAAAGGGATCTTTCAAAACACCTTACTACACTTTACACTACTGATTCAACTTAGGTAGGCATCCACAATATGCTCAGCATTGGCAGCCATGCTTGTATAACCTGTAATAAGTAAGTACTACATCAGTATTGTACACTAATCCTTAATTATGTATGTAAAACAAGAAAAATAGGACATTAAAGTGTCACGGTCGATAAAACTTCAAATGAAAATTTAATCCACTTAGAATAGTCTTTCGAGAAAGCAGAAGGTTGGGTTACATCGGAGGTCGTTGCCCTCTGATGTAGAAGGGCGACCATGATAACGATTCCAGTATTAGTACGTAGGTACTTTATACTGAAAAGTGGGTGTTACATTATATAGTGGCATTAAGTGCCGTAATGTGCACCTTTGTATACCCCTTTGGGGATAAAAGTCGTGATGTTATGTACATTAAACTAACTTATTGGTAAAGTGTACTAGAACTTACGTCAGATAATGATGACCCCATCATTATCTGTTTTTTTTTTAATTTGATTAGTTTCTGCATGCAGCTCCGTGTTGTTAATCATTATTCGGTTTAAGAATTGTCTCCCGTCATCAGTCATTATCATGATCACACCGAAGATTTCGTCTGCTGTACAAAGGCCTCCCCCCAGTTCGCCACGCCACACAACAACATGCCGTAAGCGTCCAACAGTCTGCCACATCATGGCTTACCACCAGGCGAGACGGTGGCTTAACATCATCCTATACATATAAAAAACTGTGGTCAGGAAACCTGGCGACATATTAGATTCCCATAGCGGGAGACTTCATCAATGATGTTCATAAAATGTAAGTATCTAAAAAAACCCTTGTTTTTATATTCAAAACAGAATGAAATAATTCGTTTAATCGATACATTTAATCGATTCAAATTATTCAACCAACAAACACTCTTCAAGTTTTCAACTCCAAAAAGTCACTTCTTCACCACTTTCAAGGGTTTAAGTGACTTTAAACTTTCCCGCGAAATGTCGTTGCCTGCTTATAATTTGATTTTAAATTATAGAGCTTCAAAAGTTTCACAACTTTTTAATTTCATATCAGAAATCAAGCAGATACTTGATAGAGTTGGACGATCCAATTCCAGAATTCAACTGCAGAATGTTATGAAACT